TACTTTGTAGAACGGCAATTTCTGAAGTTCGGTCCATTTACTTGTATTAGCTTACTGGTACATATGCCACATTCAATATGGCGGACGCTGTGACGTTTCGCAGCAACGTGCCGACCCGCTCCATGAGGCGTCTACGTGTTCACGTCTGTGATCCATACCCCCTTGTGCGGAACCTTCAAATATTTGTTCTCAGTCGGATTAGTGAACCGTTGCACGTTGACAAACTTCCCATTCATCGTTTCCTCTGCACGTGTGAGACCAAACCAGGAGTTTACCTTGAGGAATTCTGCGGACGGCATAGTTTTCAGGTAACAGTTATGTTTTCATGCGGACTGTTTTAGGCTGTGTTTCTAACTCTGCGTGTCCCGCAGTCTCTTCCACTCAGTGGGCTGTTCTACAGACCAAACATAGCGGCTTTTAACCAACAGACTGGCTACATAGTCACGTTCCGTGGGTTAAAAACAGTTTTTAAAAGCACTTAGCTTCTTTAATAGTCTGTGGTGGAAATAAACAAGAAACCTGTTCGGGTTGTACCCTGAAAGGCACAGCGACCAGCTGAGTTCCATCTGCTCTGTTAGTACCTGTTGTCCTCAGGTAAGCTCAGAAGTTATCTGATGTTTCTTGCTCATGTCTGTAGTTTGAAGTGTTTCTGGATTAAACTATTACCCGATGAAATATTCATTTATTAGCCTGATGAAATTATTAGACATTTGAGAATCTTCAGAAACATTTAGCTCAGGATTCTGCTTTGGTTAGTTCAAAACCTTTCCTCTCAGGAAGTAAGGTTTTGTTGAGTTGGATGTTTTTTAGGCTCGCCGTGATGCTGAAACATCCCCGTTCATCTCTAGGTCGGTAGCAGACATGTAAAAGCTTTGAGTCAAAACTGACTGGTCCTGCTCATAATTTTATCCACCCAGACCCGTCTCAATAACATATTTTGCTGGACGATAAATTGGCCCAGAAATTATCACGATAAACAATTTAATTTTGGTTTTGAGACCACAAGTAATACAATGGTAATTTTTAAATATCCAAAATAAACAAAACAACAGAAACGACAAAGTGATTTATGAAGTCACTGTAAACAAAATTGTAGTAAAAAAGGGCTGGTTGAGACCAAAGCATCACACTGAATACTTTTGTCATCCAATTTTTGGTAGAGACAAAATCAATAAATCATGCAAAAGGAAAATGTAATTTATCATTTATTATTTATTGTCAGTTGTGACAGATCTATATGCACCTTGACAAAAATATAACTCCAGCTGAATGAATGTATCTCCAGAGCATGATGCTGCCACCGCCATGCTTTTGGTGTTATTTTGGGCTTGGTTTGTGGTGCATTTCCCCTTAAGTAACTTTCTTTATTCCTCCCAAACTGGAGCTTTGAGGTGTAAACTTTTCTGGCAGGCAGAATATTCTCACCATTATTTTTCATTTGTCTCAGTTTAATCTGCCCATCAGGTATAAACAGTTTTATGTTCTGGTTCATTGAGGATTCTGACGAAAGGTATTAAAACACTCTGGCAGCTAAATGTGCTGGCAGGTTTATTACCACTGTCAGAGTTGACACCTATTAAACACAGCAAATAACACAGGAAAGACAAGAGAAAGTTAGATTCTTAATACTGGCGAGGAGAACAGACAGAGATGTGCTTTCAGTTACAAATCTCCTACTGATCTGAAGCACATTTGCCTGCCCCTCTCTTTTTATTGTCTTAGGATCCCTAATCACAGAGAGCGCTGTAACTCTAAAGGGAAGGGAAAACACTTCATCACACAGTCACAGCGCCAGATTATCACTAACTAACAACACAATCAATCTAACACTAGCTTATCCAGTTCCGGACCCAGGATCAAGCAGGACGAGTTGTACATCTTCACGGCGATGGTTTTATAGCTATCTAAGAGGTCAAAGCAGGGCGTTCTGTGAAGAGCTGCTGTCACTGCTCTACTTCAGAGAGGCCTTCTGAGAAAGCAAGCCAGAATGATTAACAATACAGAAACATTCCTTAAAAGATATGACTAAACCAAATAAGAGTACATAAACTAAGAACATATAAAACAGTATAACAAATAGTTCATAATGATACAATTTACCTAACAACCACCCACTCATATGTAACATTTACACTTTGAGATTTTTTTCACTGATTCTCACTCCAACTGCAACTGCTGTGAAACACTCTGAATAATGCTTTATTTAATGCATTTTCTGACCCATTTTTCCTCAGTGCAGCACGGAGAGCAGGATGGATGCGAAGGTAAAGAAACAGAAGAAGCACCAGCAGAAGCACAGCGGACCAAAAGCAGAAAAGAAGAAAGCCAAGAAACAGGAGGGATTGGTAGAAGAAGATGAGCGCAAACGTAACCCCAAAGCGTTTTCAGTTCAGTCTGCTGTCCGCATGGCCAAGACCTTCCACAGGTTCTTTTCCACTAATCGTCACAATAATAGTGTTTTCCAATAATAGTGTGCTAAAAGTTTGTTTCTCTCCAGGGCCCAAGACATAAAAACTAAAAAGCACCACATCCCTGTGGTGGACCGAACCCCCCTGGAGCCTCCTCCAGTTGTGATTGTGGTGGTTGGACCCCCCAAGGTGGGAAAGAGTACCCTGATCCGCTGCCTGATCAAGAATTTCACCAGGCAGAAGCTTGGAGATATATGTGGACCTGTGACTATTGTGTCAGGTAGGTTTCAGCTTTAACTTTGACAGGAGCCACACAACATCACGAAGTAAAACATCTTCAGGTTTTATGTGTCAGGACATATTTTAAATCATATAATTAAAAAATATAGATGCTTATTTAATCCCTTAGCCAGATGAGCCGCTGTCATGTGATGGGGTTAGGGTTAGGAATAGTTATTGCATAAAATAAACTTGAACTTTGTGTGTTCTTTAGGTAAGAAGCGTCGGCTGACGTTCATGGAGTGTAACAATGACATCAACGCGATGATCGATCTGGCTAAGGTGGCAGACCTGGTGAGTGTTCTATTCAGAGCTATCGGATGTACTAACACTGGGGAGGTGAGCTGGTATGAAGGCATTTCACAATTACAGAGGGGATGAAACCCAGACAGATCCAGTGCATGAAGCTGGAACCAGATATTAAGAGATACAAACTTTCTTCTCTCTGTGTTACATCAAATCAGTCAAAACCTTCCATGTTTTAGATCAGATCAACTCAATGATTTGTGTTTGCTAAATGCTACAATATTGAATAGATGTAGGAATTCATTTATTGAAAGTCACAAGGTTACATCCAGAAAACTTAACGTGCCATTTTGGGAAAAACAGATAATGTTGTGACAGTGAATGCATCTAATTCTAGTGGTGGGACGCATTTAACACTTTGAGTTAAATAATAACATTTTAATCAAAAGCTGTATATTGAAAAAAATAAGCCAAATTTTTTATTCAAAACCTCTTTTTATTGCTAGATTATTGCAAAAAATAGACAAATGAGATCAACAACAAATTACAATACATTAAAGTAATCATAGAGTCTCCTATTGTTGAATTTAAAGGCAACACCAAAAAAAACTTTCATGTGTGAAAAAATCCAGAAAAACCAGCCCAGATATCAGAGAGCTGTGGACTTCCGGCAGTCCGGTTCGTTCTTTTGGGTCCAATTTCTTGATACCAGAAAGTTCCTCTCTCATTTACTCATCGTTGGATCCTTCCTCCCCAGAAACCTTGGAGTCATCGTTGCTTCCGGAACTATCTGACTCAAATAAATCTGGCTGCAAAATAAGCCACAGTCCCTTCAGTAGAAGCAGCTCCCTCTTCTTCACGCTACATTTAACTTCTTCCTGTTAAACTGCAGATAAATCGCTCAAATCTTCACTGAAATCCTCACAACTTCCTCCACTTTTATGTATTCAGCCTCAGTTATTTATGGTTTGACCTGCTCTGATTACATCTGGTCACAAGATGGCGCTGTTGTTGACTTGGTTAGGACAGATGAAAACATTCTTTGCATTTATAGTATTCTGTGAGAAATATTTATCATTTATTCCAGGGTTTCAAGGTGCTT